TATATACCCAATTCCAGTGGCAAAGATCTGGATTTTATTTCATTTTTATTTTAATAAATAGCTCATTCAGTGCTAGAAATTAGGCTGCATAGCTTTCATAATTTCTCATGTATCATTCCCTCTCACAGAACGTACACTGGGAAGACAACAGAATGTGGTGCTCTCTGAAGGTGCTTCTTTGCACATGAATTTTCACATGAAGGTCGTGTCCTGGATCTTTGCTAGAGAACTGTTAAAGCTGTCCTCTTTTATGAGTCACTAACTTCTATTGGAATCATGCATCTGTTTCTTCCTATTTAAGTGACTATTAGGTAGTCCTAGAAAATGTATTTAAATTTTGGATTTCTTCTTACTGGGGTGCCACACTCCCTTGCATGTTTGTGGTCCAGAATGAATTAATACGCTCTCATTTACATTGTATTTTGAGCCCTTTACTTTTTATGTAATTACTCAGAAAAATAAGATCAGCCTTTTCCATTCAGAAACTTACACTATAATTAAAGAGAGGAAAGTTTCATGAAAGAATATTTAGGAACACAATATACATTTTGTGTTCCACAAACACAAAGAATGTTAAATTACAGAAGGACACCAGAAATTCTTATGGGCAGTAAAGAGGGTAATTATAAATAAAATGCAACTTTAAATTCAGGCAAAACAAAAGTTAAGTACACTGGCATACAGTACCAAAAGGTACAGCACGGAAAGGGAAGAGAGAATAAAATCAAAGTAGAGGCTGGAAGAAGGCTAGGGGTATGGTGCTGTATTAGAGCTCTTGTCTAGCATGTTTCAAGGTCCTAGGTTCGATACCCAGGGCGCACGTGAAAAAGTTTACTGGGAAAAGACTTTTCCTGCCATACCTGCTGACCGAGATGTTTTTGAAAAAAAATTTTTTATTATTTCTCTTTTATGTATATGAGTGTATTGCTTGCATGTGTGTAAGTGCACCCTCAAAAGAGGACGCTGAATTTCCCCAGAATTGGAGTTATTGACAGTTGTTAGCTTCCATGTGGCTGCTGGGAATTGAGCCTGGATCTTCTGAAAGAGCAGTCAGTGCTCCTACCCTTTCAGCCGTCTCTCCAGCCCCCTGCTGACCTGAGTTTTGTCCCTGAAATCCACATGTTGCAAGGAGAGAATCCTTCTCTGACCTCCATATATATGCCACGTCAGAGGTGCAAGTGCACACACACACACACACACACACACACAAGCTCATGCACACACTATACATACACACATATATGCAAAATAAATAAATGTAAAAAAAAAATCTAGAAAAAAGAAATTAGGTGGTGGTCCAGGGAAAGATAGCAGGAGTTTTGAAAGGGAAGATTTGGTGACTCCCATCACCTGCCTTAAGAATAAAATGTCTTCTTGGACTGTGACATGTATTAAAAGTGTTATAAAATATTTAAAAGAACAAAAGAATACATGTACACATATGCTTATATTTTAACTAATGTATACTTTTCAAATATTTCGAGTATAATTTTCCAAAATGATCAAAATAAACTTACAAATAAAATTTTTAAAATTTGCCTGCCCTTGAAATTGTTATTTAATGTAAGGCTTTTTTCACTAAAATAATTGTCTCCATAAATTTAATGTGAGGTAATGACTTTAGTGTGTGTGTTTAAAACTTTCTGCCTAGTGCACTGTCTGCCATGTAATGACTTAGTATCCTCTACACTTTATTCAAGTGATCCCAAACCTTTTCTCTGTGTATCACTTTGTAGGGATGCTGTTTGGTTTCCATTTAACTGGAATGTATCATTAATATATTAAATCCATCTTTGCTTTCCTTAGTATCTGGAAAACATTAATTTTTGAAAATGATTCAATTATTATGATAAACAAAAATGCTAATGCTGAGCTACATCTTCCATATTATCTCAAATATATTTGATAAGTTTGTGTTGGTTGTGATAATGAGCACTAACATAACAGATTCTTATAGAAAAGTCATTGAACTCCAGAACTGCCATAGTTCCATTAACCCTACTTGAGATACGCTACATTAAGCTGTTTAGTGATCTAGATTTAGAAAGGCAGTGTTTAGTTACCTGAGCAATTCTTACCTGAATGAGAAAGCAGTATAGATTTAATAAATTCACAATTAAGAATCAGATTAAAAACTACCTTGAAAGAAGAATAGATCAATATTCATTTGTTTATAAAAGGGGAAAGGGAAGATGCCATAAAACTTATTGAATAACTGTTGTTGTATATTTGCATGTAACATTGCAGGTGCAAGTGTGGAAAGATTATGAGGTAAAATGGTGGCAAGAAGGAGAAAGGTCAACTCTATAGGGCATGGCAGAGCCTGATTGATGAGGTCGCACTTCAGTCCATAAGGATGTGATCTAGAAAGGCCTTCTAGGAGTATTGAGAGCCCAGGTCCCAAAACAAGCAAGGCATGACAGAAGTTACGGGTTCTAAGACTGCAGAAAAATCATGGGGATGAGGGTACTTTTCTAGGTCACCACTGAAGAAATGTTGGTAAGAATTTGTGCTGATTTGGGTATGCTGGGTATGACATAGTGAGAGAGAAGAATAAATGTTCAACTGCTGAGGCTGGGGAGGCCTGGAAGGATGGTGTAATTCTCAGAACAACTCTCAGATAACAGTGGAGGAGGCATGTTGAGTGGAAAGTCATAAAAGGTTCATGGGAGTTTTAGTGTTTTTTTAATTAATATAAAACACAAAAACAATGGATCATCTGTATGTAACATGCACCATTTTAGGAAAGTTGGCTAAAACAATGAAATAGAAATGTCACATATGGATGGAAATAAAATGTAAAATCAGTGAAAATGGAGGATGATGCCTTAGAAGGAACTAGAAAAACTGAGGAAGAAACTTAAAAGGAATGAAGAAAAGAATCAGTATTATAGCACATGCACACGTGCATACACACACACACACACACACACACACACACACACAGATGCTGAAAGAAACAGGTCCATCTATAGAAAATGCAGCCACGGTTTTTAAAAGAGCAGAGGTTGTGCTTGAGTCGGTATCATCACAGTTTGCTGCTGCAGTCACAGGTTACAACAGGTGTGAATTTACAGAGACGGTTCACAGTTGAAGAGAAGGTTGTATGGAAGTCTAGCATAGAACTGTGGCACAGTGGGCAGCTTGACAAAATGTCCCTTAAGTGTTAATTGGCTCCCTTTTTTTTGGTATCTAAGGTTTTGGGTTTTTCAAAAATATATTCTAGCTATTAATTGCGAGTCTGAATGCTAATTTATGAATTAATTGATTAATTGAGTCAATAGACTGGGACATGTGCAATCAGACAATAGAAGAGTTTGTTCATATGCAGTGAAGATGGCTTTGGCTGGAGTGTCTTCCCTATACCTCACAGGAGTTGTAAAAGAGTCAATAGACTGGGACATGTGCAATCAGACAATAGAAGAGTTTGTTCGTATGCAGTGAAGATGGCTTTGGCTGGAGTGTCTTCCCTATACCTCACAGGAGACCTTGAGTTAATGGCAGCAACACTCTGCCAACCAGACCAAAGTCCTGCTACGTGAAGAGAAGCAGAAAAAAATAGCATATGGAGTCTCCTTTATCTCAACTCTTCATGCTGAACCTTCTAATTTATCCTACATGCCTAAGCCAATTGGAAGCCTCATAACGTAAATTCCCATCTGTACACAGGTGTCATTTCTCATTACAGCAACAATGCCATGTTGTTCTGCTAGCACAAGTTACATAAGTGGTCAGTTTTCACTCCTGGGTAATCGTTCTGCATTGTTGCCATGCCAGTCTGATAAAGGCTGGGAAGACCTGGGTCCAGTAGCCATGCCAGGACCTTCCACTGGTCCAAAAACAAGTGGCCATTGCTACTAAGTGACTGTAGTTTTTGCCTCTACAACTCCTTTTGTGTTGACTTTATAGCATTTATTTAGGTATTATCAAAGGGAATGACTTCCAGGACATTGCGCTTTACCTCTCATAAAATCCCAGATCTCACAAAAATCACGTTTTTCTTAGACAAGAATAATCTGTATAGGACATAAAAGCAGAGTTAACCATATGGGCAAGCACTACACAAAGTATTCAGGCCTCTAATTTTACACAACCTTCAAAGCAATCTTTCAAATTGTTACATTATTTCTACTTTAAGAAAAGTAAGGCAGAAAATAAACATAAATACCTTCCATCACACAATAAACCGTTGTGCCAGTATTTGAAGTCAGTTCTGCCCAATAGCAAATCATATGCTCAGTAAGAACAAGTATCGATGACAGAATGTGAAGTCTTTATGGAAAGCTTTCTTGTGCTCTTCCCACCCTGTATTACAGTTGTTTATTATAGAAATAATATGCATAGTTAAGAGCTAAGTATGTCCATGTCCAAAACATGCAAAGGAGTTACTTGAGCAGTATGTATCATAAAATCTAATGCTTACTAAACTGTGGGGTCCTTTAGAGTAGCGTCTGGCTTTCATTAGCTTGTTTTTAATTACTGTTAATAAAACAGCCTTGTAGAAATGTAATGGATGACCCCTGAATGGATGCACTGGATGTTTTATAAGGAGAGACAATGGAAGAAGCCCAGCCCTTTAAACAGAGATCCTTGTGGAAACATCAGCCACTATGATGAAAAATGTAAAAGTCTCTAAAATGTTATTTGCTGTGCTCTTTGAAACAGAAATCTTAAAAAAATAAATGTGGCAAATCTTTGCACTCTGATGTTGAGTGCTATGCCAAAATGGATTATTTCTCTCAGGTTTAATTGGATTCATATAGGGAGAAAGCCCTCTTATTGGCTCTTTAATGTATTGATAGTAAATGACCTCAAGGTCATCAACAACCATGGTCTCGGATGTAAATCAGGACACACAGGAGTCATTTAGTTATTAGGGTATTTGAATGCTATCATAATTTCATCACGTCATAGTGAAAAGAAAAAAAAATCATGAAAATGAACATCGACTGATGTTGTCTGTACTGTGTTCCAGTGTCACTTTCTGTTTTGTTTTTTAGGTGAAGACAGATGACAGAGTGGTTAAGATGGACCTGGGTTTACTCTTCCTCAGGGTACACAAATCAGATGCTGGGACCTATTTTTGCCAGACAGTAGAGCACAGCTTTGTCCACACAGTGCGTAAAATCACCTTGGAAGTAGTGGAAGAGGATAAAGTCGAGGAAATGTTTAATAAAGACCATGAAGAGGACAGACCTCACAGGATGCCTTGTCCTGTCCAAAGCAGTTTCCCCCAGGGGGTGAGACCTTGGTACAAGGAATTCTTGCAGCTGATTGGCTACAGCAACTTCCAGAGAGTGGAAGAATACTGTGAAAAGGTATGGTGTACAGATAAGAAGAGGAAAAAGCTTAAAATGTCCCCATCTAAATGGAAGTATGCCAACCCACAAGAAAAGAAGGTCCGGTCTAAACCTGAGCATTACCGCCTGCCCAGGCATGCACTGCACTCCTGAGGGGGGAGCCATTTCCTGGCTGCTGAAGAATTTGAGACCTTTCTGGGGGAAAAAGAAGAAAGCATCCACTTCTTTGCATTACATTAAAAGAGACTTCTGTAGTACAGAAAAATAATAAAGGTGTTATAAGTTATCTACATACCCATCTGACTGTGTAAAGTTCTCGCAATACTAATTTTTAAACAAGTGCAAGTGTATTCCTTAAAAGGCTTCACAATATATATCAAAAGTGACAATAGCTGTAGTTTTTATTTTGAGCTGCTTTTCAATGGAACTTATTTTATTATTGGAAGATTTAATATAATTAGATTATTGAAGGAACAGTTAACAGGATTTTCATAATCATAGAAAATATAAAAATGTCTGCTTTATTCTTTCTGAATATTTCCTTACAACCATAAGGTGAAATGCACACACTATCAGATATTTTAGGATTATTTTGTGATCTTTCTGTATGTTGGGGGCTCAAAAATGCTAATTTTTTTTAAAGTCACGAGTTTTAAATAGCAGTTGTGTTGTGGTTCATGCAAACTAATCATAAAAGATATCTGTGACGGGTCACTCTGTGGCTTGTATATTCACTAGGCTATATTCAAAATCCATCTGATTTGTAAAGAAAACATATACTTCAAATTTGACTGCAGTGTGGAAGGAAAGAAGACAACCGCTCAGAAAGCTATCAAAGAAATTTCAAGACATGAATGCAGAATTCAAACAAAAGGGAGGCCTGTGCTGCCCTCTTGTGGTAGTCAAAGGCATCTTCTCATATATTTCTTTTTCTACAATTAAAAAGAGATTCTCATATTTAGTCCATTTTTAGAAGACTGGCTAAATTTTAAAAATTATACTTATTTCATAACTTAATATGGAAGTGACATGCTTATTCATAAAAATCAGGAATGAAGATGTTACAGCACTCGAGTTCTTTAAAAACTTTTAACTTCGAGTTTTTGAATCTTCCTTGAAATCCAAGATATTCTGGAATTTTCTATTTATAAAAGAATTATTAAAACATTTTCTTTCAAAAAATAAATCTTCCTATTTTATGTTAACAAAAATCATTTCATGAATTGATTTTACTACTGAGATCTTCAGAGAATTGTCTTTCTTATATAAATATTATCAACTATTTATTCAGAATGTTTGTTTCCTGAAGTCCTTCCTCTTTGTGTTTTAAAGAGTTATCTATTACCTTTCTAAAACTATGATCTTTCCAAGACTTTTCACTTAAATAAACAGTAAAAGTGGACTGTACATAAAACAATTACGAATAATTATTCAGATATTAAATTTAAATATTTAATTCAACTTTTAAAACTATCTCAGTGGGCTATGTGATTAAGAATATAAATTTTTGAGAACTTCTAATGTGTTATATTTCATTCTAAGATTAAAAAGTACATGAAAATTCCAAGGAAGTTTTTAAGTCCATAAGTTTCAAAACATCTGGCTTATACTGATACTAGTATGAAGGGAAATCTTGCATCCTCTGCTCAACCCACTTGTTCCTCCCAGAATCCCATGGGGGCCATTGCTGCTTCCCATCAACAGTAATTGAGATAAGCATGTATTCAGGGTTTTTTAAAATACTGGGTTCATTTAAAAAAAAAAAAAAAAAAAAAAAAGCCAAGTTGGGGAAATAAAAACCTCAAACAACAGCTCAGTTTCCCTAGCAAACTATGGATATAGTCTCAAGTGAACAGGCATATTGATGTGTGAATTTTTAAAAATATTCTTCCATTAACACACAAGAAACAGAAATTTCACCTACATTCCTATTACATAAGAAAAAAGAAGTAAAATAGATATGCATAAGTTTTGGAGTTTTAAACTTGATACACATATAGACAATTAAAGATGAAAACAGTGTTGTTGTAAGCTAAATATTTAGCAACTGAAGGCTAATTCAAACACGTATTTTACAATTTAATAATTAAATGCACATGAAAGCTTACTAAAATAAGATATTGATCAGAAAGTAAAGAAAATGTAAAGGGCTCAGTTCCATTTGAGGGAGAGCACTAAATTATATACATATGTATTTATATGTACATATATATTCATATCATATATCATGCTACATATCTATTTATGGTAGAGGTTTAAGACAACTAGGAACATGGAGAGAGGGAAGGAGGGAGCAGTTTCCATGACTAAAGCTGATGTCTCTCTTTATTCATCTCTGCCTTCCTCCCCTTTTTCCTGGCCATCGTTGCACATACATTCCCACATACTTTATGATGAATCACCATCACCTTTTCAAAATACAAACCATCAAAATACAAATCTATGCTGTTTCTCTGTTTTGAAAGTATGAAGCCTACTACAAAAATATTACTAATCTTTTGTTCTATCTGGGGTTAAATTCAAATTCAGAATCTTCTTTGAAAAGAATTCAGGCTTGGGACGTTACAACTGAATTAATCAGTGCAGTGATGCCTCTTCCTTGGGTGCATATGCAAGGAGTTAAGAGTATACTTTGAGTGGTCAGAGAGATGTCTTAGTGGTTAAAAACATTTGCTGTTCTTCCAGAAGACCCAGATTAAGTTCCCAGCACCCACATGGCTGCTCATAACCATCCATCACTCTAATTCCAGCAGGTCTTTTGCCCTCTTCTAACCTCCACATGTATTACATGCACAGGTGCATTGACACACATGCAAGTAAAACTTATACATGTAAAAACAAATAAAATAAAAAATAAAGAGTTGGCTTTTAGCTATTCAGATGTAGCCTTAGTGAAGAAAACATTCCCTCTAGGATCCTAGCTTATCTGGGATCCTAACCTCTCCTGTTCCAAGGGCCCTTTGTATAGTCAGCCTCTTGCTTCTCCAGACCCCATTGAAATCATTCTCTGTTAGCTTCAAGGCTCTGGAAAGAGAATAAGCACCACAGAAAACGTGATTGCCTCCTCCCTCAACACCATGCTGAGTTACAGACCTGACACATTGGAAAGACTACAGTTTAAATTGATGTCATTTCATGATTTAGGAGGACTTTTCCATGTCTTGCATTCTACACTGATATTTTTTTCTTTTGTGTTAAATACTGAATATTTCAATGGGAAATTATCAATTTTAAGAAATAGGAATTAAAGTTAGAAATGAGCTCTAATAAATCCAGAAAAAAGAGAATGAAAAGTCTATACCTGTTTTGTAAGCTGGAATTCTATATACACAGTATACATGGAATATATATATATAATATATTATACTTCATAAGGTCTTCTCTTTCCTTTAAAATATTAGTTAAATAATTAGAATGTTTTACTGAGTATTTAACAATTGCTTTGGGGTGGAGGGTTTTGTAAATCTTTATAGTAATTATGAATATTTGTAAAATTTGTATAATGTAATAAATAATTTTGAGTGTTAGTGTTAAGCATGAAACAAACAGCAGTTGTTGTCCTTAAAAATGGCATCTTTAGCCTGTCAAATATATTAAGTACATGGGCTTATATAGTTATTCGATATCCCAAATAGAAATCCCACGCCTATGATGATTAATAAGTAATCCACAGAGGCACTGTTAATTTTAATGTCACATTCATTTTTCAGGCCAATGATTGCTGAATTTGAATCAGATGTAAATATTCGATTTTCCACAAACACTCTTTAAATTATAGCACTGTTATTTAACCAGGTATTTTATCATTTTATTCTCTTGGGAAGAGGGCTTTATAAATTGCCTTTCTTTATTCATTAACTGTGTTCTGTTGGTGTTTAAATGGCTTAGTTATAAGCTAGAACACTGCAGTGGACTGTCTGACTCTACAGTATCCTTTATCTGTTTGGCAAGGTCTTTAACAGTGTGTGCCATACTGTTTTATTTCATTGATGATAAGCTATGAGACTTATCATCTAGTTACAAACTACAGGGATCACTGACTATGTGTCTCCCTGACTATAATGTAGATCCACCACTCTGCATTGCACAATGTCTTTATTATACATAGGATTTCTATTTGGTTCAGCTTAGATGAAAAAGAAATAAATATGGTCCGAAACCTTAAGTACTGTCTGAAGAGTATTTTTCTTTCTTACTTTCTTTTTTTTTCTTTCTTTTTTTTTTTTTTTAACAATTGAACTCAAGTATCATAATCAAGCCTAAATGCAAACACATAATGCCAGGCTAACATGATTTCTTGAATAAGATAGAAAAGAATTCAATTTTCATTCTTGAGAAATTCTTGTCAGCTTCTCCAAGAAGGAAGCAGTCCATTAATCCCATTACTTTATAGCAGTTAGTTTTATTTAGGCCATGCTATATTTTTAGGCCCAGCAGAGAAAAATCCTCCAGATAGGAGATGGAAAAGGAACACTCCCAAAATAGCAACTATTAAACTATTAGAATGTTGATGAGAGAGTGAGACACATCTCCCGACCACACACACACACACACACACACACACACAGGAGGGAGAGAGAGAGAGAGAGAGAGAGAGAGAGAGAGGAGAGACAGAGACAATGTTGAATATTTTTGCAAGTTTCAAATTTTATTTCTGTTTCAGAATATCTGAATTCCTGCCTTCATGGCTATTTTTATAAGACCACGAGAGAGACCTATTAAATGAAATTTAACGTTAAACCAATATTTGAGAGTTTCATCTTGAAGTAAATCTCATACTATTGATATTACAATGTTTGAAACTAAGAGTTTGTTGGAAACTTTAGAACAATGTCTCTCACAGATTTTGGTGTCACAATGCGATTAATGGTAATTGTTTGCCTTGAGATGCAAAAACACAGCTCTTATCTCAAAGGAAGTAAGAGATAGTTTATTCTGGAGCCAAATTTGAGTGACAATGGCCTGAGAACAGATCAGGTTATTCCAAAGACTATGTTCCAACATGGTCATAGTTTCATAAAGCTTTTACAGTAAAAGAACAAGAGAAAGTCATAAATCAAGGCATTCATCAAATACATTAGTGAAAATATAAAGCTGATGAGTTACAGCAAAGTGGGCAAATCTCTTCTGTGGGTTTCAGATGCTGTCTGATGACATTTTTAGGTTTTAGCTTGGCGAAATCTAGTTGACTCTTAATACATTTCAAAAGAATTTAGCTGATAATCACAAGGATGTAGGTCAAATGCAGATGTGGGCAATGAATGGTTATTAAGGGAGTTAAAGATGGCTCAAAGTAATTTTGCTTCTGCTCTGCAATATTTCCATTCCTCACAATCCAGAAGTTCTATCCAACCATTCAGCCTGTAGAAACTTCAACCAGGTATGTTTTGTTTTGTTTTGTTTCTGGAAACTTCAGCTGACAGTCTGTATTTCATACTTGCATTCTTCTATGATATAAGCTGCACTTATAGGACCTACTTATACTGTAGTATTTGATGAAACCATTGAAACAGCTCTTTGCGTATACAATATCTTTTGTAAAAGGAAAGAAGAGAAATGGATATGTTCATCAGAAATCTTCCCTAGTATTCAAAAAGAGTAAAATTATGTGTTTGCTAGTTTTACCTTGGTGTTGTATTTTTTTAAGTGCTAGGGGATCAAACCCGGGGCCTTAGGCATTCTAGACAAGCACTAAGTGACATCTCCCGCACCCCCGCATGCATCCACCTTATTTTTCAATTATGATAAGCAAGAAATGCAGAGCAAGACAGAAGCTATCTCCTCCTGCAATGCGTCCCCCAAAACAAGCCAAGCTGAACACTCCCCACATCAAAGCACTGCAAAGAGCAGGTGAGGCATCACAGCACCTCTGCTTTCAACATAATAAAATGAAAAGACAAACTGAAAAAGAAAGCAAGAATGGAAAAGCTGTCTGTCTCCCTTCTCTCTGCTCCAAGGAAACCCACACTGAGAAAGATGCTTCCTTCTTGTGGGAGGCACAGAGAATAAAATCCAGGCCTTAAACTTGAACCCTAGTAGCAGGCCTGCTAAGGTAGAAACCAGTGCTGGAAAGTGCTCCTACCCCGAGTTGAAACCCATAGACTTAAACTGCAGTAGCCTTAGACTGAGCAGCTCAAGGATTCCACTTCCCCCCTTCATTCCCACAGCACACCAGGGAGCAGGACTTCCCCTGCTGGGTAGCATAGTGCAAAAGTCTGCATAAGTCTTTGCCTTACAATCTACTATCTGGCCTAGATTGGTAAATAACTAAGACTCAGAACCCAGTAGAAACTAAAGGCCCTGATGTATGGTCCAGGGTTCCTAGACAAACCCGGTAGACCACATTGAAATAAGAGGGAGACAGGGGCACCAATGGGACAGACCTGAGTTCAGCCAAGTCTCTTCCAGCCCTGGAGGGGCCTGAGGCATACATACCCATCCTCTTTCGCAAACATGGCACGCTTCTATGTCTGTGAGACTCAGATGTGACCCAGCTCAACACCAACCTTCACCATCAAGGGACTGTCTTCATCACCCATCCTTCAGCTTCCTACAGAAATTCATTGCTAGGCCAGTTCTCTGTGATAGGATTCTATAAGTACTCTAGCACACAGTCTAGGGTAGATTTGTGTAGTGGCCTGTACCATGCCAGATGAAGTATGATTCAATAGATCCCTAAGACTGTGCAGGTCATTGTAGCTTTGAGACTCAGGTGGCACTTTAGTTTAGTCAGTGTAGGTAGCTAAGAAGTTATCTTTAACAATACTATCCCAATTTT